AAGGACGTGTTTAAAAGCGCAAGCAGTGAGCGGCGCAGCCTAATGTCACCACTAATTCTGTGGAGATGGGAGAACCCTGTATTTGTGGTCCGTCGAAATTGCGAGGAAGGGACGTGCGGATAGACGGCTCGCATGAGGTGCCGCTTACAGAGCGGGTTAAAAGCAGCGCTGCCTTCTGCTTTGAAAGACCCCGAATAGTGAGGGTCACATCAGCAGCACAGGCCCATTCGAAGGCTTTAGCAGCGTGTCGTTACCTAAACTAGCGTCTCTGTGTAAAATAGAGAGTTGTGATGTTGCATTAAGGACGATTAGGAGAAATGCGGCACGGTGATTTCCTGGAGGAAAAATAGCAGCGGGAATCTGTAGCAGTCCGGCTGGCTTTTCATGCTGGATTTGTACCTCGGAATGAGCCTGCATTGTGGCACTTGAGAAAATTCCCTTACCTTTCACCTTACAGAGATCAGCCCGACCTGTCTCATGCTGTTTAAGCCCAACAGATTAATGTTTGATGAAAGCGGTAGGTCTAGTTAAATTAAAAACTCACTGAAGATGAGTGCTTAAAAAAATTCATTTTCGTTTTGTTTTTTGTTAACTCTAGTGAATTAGATCCTCCTATTATCAAAATATATAAAATAAAACAATCTTGCCTGGTTTGGGATGTTCTGTTGCTCACAATGCCCTTTCCCATTGATTTAAATCCCGTTTCCTCTCAATCACGACTGAAGCTCCTCAAGGACTGGCTCGCGATGTTTCTGCATGTTCTGCACATTGCTCGTTAGGGGAAAAAACAACAACAAAAAGATATTTCCCCGGTGTACTTTTCGTCTTGGTGACAGTCTTGTATGCGACGGGGTAGGTTGTGTTCTCTCATGATGAGCAGGTGAAAGGAGTGCGGGTGAATCTCTGAGCACGGCGAGCGGATTGCAGCACGCGGCTGCGTGTCACCCCGAGCCCCGCGTGCCTGAGCGCCGGGCAGCTTTGCATTCTCCCAGCACTTCAGGTTTGCTGGGCTCCATTGCGCCGTGTCTGCAGCAGGTTTCAGCGTAGCTGGTAGCACCAGTGTAGGAATCCATTTAGGCTTCATTTTGGGGACCCCATAATTTTTTGGCCTCATGTCGCACATCCGCAGCAGGCTGCCAGCACGCTGAGTTTGCGACCAAAGCGTGCGCCGCTTCCGAAGCTCGCGCTGAGGCAGAGCTTGTCATTCTGCTATATGGAAAGCAAATGAATGCTTCAGTGCCTGTGCAATATGAGGCACTTACAGGTTGGTCAAATAGCATACAGCTCCATATAAATTACTCTTATTTTCTTCTCTCCAGCCATTTTTCAAATTTTAAAATTACCGGGCAGCAGATTTTTTTCAGCTTGTTCTTTTCTTTGTTTTGTACTAACCTTACTGTTTACAACGTAAAATAACCAAGTTGGTTCTGTCTTTGAAGGAAAAGTACATGTTTTATACACCATGTTCTCCTTAGAAACCCAAACATGCAAAGTAGTGATTAAAGCCTGCAAACCATAGTGTGACATACGTGGAAAATGGGTTGTATTTTTAGTGCTCGCCTTAGAACGACAGTCTCGTGCTCTGCTTACTGGGGCACTCGTGCCTAACCACTCATTTGACACAGAAAGGAAACCCAGGCAGAGCAAGTGTTCCTGGAAAACGGGGTTTCTTCTTGAGAGGGAAACTCTAATTTACACTCTTTCTCCCAAAATTCTGTGAGATTTCTCCTCTGATCAGGTGACTTCGATCCAGCCAACACGTAAAGGATCATGGTACCTAATGCTTATAGATGTGCTGTCATCTGTATTTGGATTTTTTTAGACTCAGAAATAAGAATAATAATACTGAAATAACATCAGGTATCTTCTTAAAGAGCCATTGCAAACTGTGAGGTTTTTTTCCATACTGCTACGGAGGAAATTTTCTAGATCTCTCTTTTTATTCGTTTATTTTTTCGAGACACTACTGCTTTTGTTATCCAGGGTGAAACAGGTATAAAAACAGTATCAGTATATCTTGTCTTACCAGAAGGAGACATGTAAGGTTTTTAATTTAAATAGTGCAAGAGTCATGCTATTTAAACCCACTGATTCTATTTTTCTCAAGTATTTTAAGCTCTTTTGCCAAATAATTCTTAATTTGTGTCATTCTGAATCAGCGAATTTTAAACTATTATTACCCTATGCCTCTTGCCCCCCAAATTATTTATGACAGATATTCCACATTGTACATTAATGAAAATCTTAGGGTGTTGTCTTCCACTAAATGAAAAGTGCAACATACTGTAATATCATGCCAATTAGAAGGGGAAATCAGTGTAGAAATAACGTTTTTGCTTGGTATCAGCCACTCCAGGAAAGATTGCACATTCCACAGGGTTTTCAATGGATACGGGTAGACAGCTATAGAGAGCAGAAGATTATTAGGGAATTTGTATTTCTCTGGCTATACTTACTACAAATATTCTTTGAGACATGGCAGATATATGTGAGGAAAAAGCCTTCTCTTCATCTGCATGTTTTTTCTATGTTATGCAACACGCTGCTTGAAATACTAGCTGACAATTTCACAGAAGGAAATGCAGCTTTACATTAAAAAGGGAGGAAAAAAAAGTCAAACAGAAGAGGGTTTATTTTAGCTTGGTGTCTGAGGAGTGTAGTATTTTTGCCTGTCCTGCTCCGTATCCCAAGGAGCGGTACGGAAGAGCACTTGGGTCTTTGCAACCCTCCTTAGTGTTTGGGTCTCCATCTTACGCTAAGCTGGGCAATACCCGAGCTTTGAAATAACCCAAAGCTGTGCTGGTGGTTGGTCTGCATGAATAAAATCAGCCTTTAGTACACACATGCTTGAAAGCCCTCCAAACCAAAGGCCAACGGTAGCAAAGCTGGAATTAGGCTGCATGTAATAGCGATCTCTTTGGGCACTTTGTTGTTCCATTTCCATTCCTAATGCTCCGTATTGTACGTACCAGCAAGTCTGAGGCATTTTTAGTAATTGTGGAAGAGCCGGGAGGCCCTGAGTTAGGCAGTGGCATGCTTTCTTGGCATACCACGTGAGGCTATGAGAAGGTGGTTTGCTGTGCAAAGCTGGGAGCGAGGGAGACAGCGGAGCTGGAAAAATTAAGGTCTAACGTCTGAAGCAGATGCAGCGGGGAAGGATGAAGAAGAAAAGATCACAGAAACTTAGGTAATTGTTTTATTTGTAGTCTAATGTGCACACAAGGTTGTTGATGATGAGGCAACCAGTGACATAAATAAACTCAAGCGAAAGATGTAAGCGAGTGGATATATGTAAAGGCTTCTTTGGGCAGTGCCACGAATTTGGACATCGACCAAAAGAATTATTTATGTCCCTTGCGATTTCAACGTAGAGCACAAAGGAGATAATTAGACCAGGACGCTTCGCATTGCTCTTTCCATCTTGCACACATTCGTGCCCACCAAATGTGAAATGTTCGCCTTTTCCCCTCAAATGTGATGGTTGTTGAACTTATTTTTAGTGTCATTTGATAAGCCTCCCTGCTCGCAGAGAGACATCCCACTGACCCAGCCACTGGTCATTGTCTATACCAGTTCCCATCAAAGCAGGCGCGCTTTGTCAGGTTTCGACTCGAATATCCATTTTGCATCTGAAGTACAGTATCGAAAGTGACTGGATCATTTGAGCCTTTTTCTTCAGCTGCTCCCTCCTTCCTCCCCCACAGTGTTTCCGCTCACGCTAACATAATTTGGCATCGTCGACGTGACACGACACTGGTTTTTCTAAAAAATTATAATACATACATTGTCAATGTTTTGTGATGGCCGGCGCTCCCGTAAATTTAATTTCTAAATTGATGGAAGAAGGTCTTTTTCCACTGCTGAATCTCAACCAATGCTCAGTGCCCCCTCGAAAACCGAGTAATGCACATACAGTAATAGGTCATTCAATGTCAAAAGGCATAAAAAAGATGAGCAAAATCTTCACAGGCTGCTGCTTGCTGTTGCCTTTAATTATATTAATTAAACTTTGAAATTCTCATGCAAAGAGAGTTGCTGGCTTGTGACGCTGAAGAGCCCTTGGAGATTTAGGGGGGAAAAAAACCCTGAGATACCAGCTTAGTGGCTACTGCTTTTTTTAATCTAAAAAAAATAGTACATAAGCCTACTACTGCTAGGTATGTTTACAGCTGATGATGTTTTATGCGCTACTGAACTTTGAATGCAGGAAAGGGGAAAAAACCACCAGCCACAATGTCAAGGTCTTGAAGCATCAGTCCCTCAAACTCCGCTCAAGATCTCTGGTTACAGGCTGTCTTCCTGTGGAATAACGCTCTATTAATTTTCTTCCTGTCCCGAGTGCATAATGAAAGAAAGGTGTCTTCAAAAACTAAAGGGCAAAGTCTTGCTTACTACCAATACCTTGAGGCACCGTGTCTACATTTTGTCATGCGTGTGCACTTTTCAGTGTTAGAATGACAAGATTTCCAGTCAGAAGGTTCCCGTAAGGCACGATGCGATGGGAGACTCAGAAGGATTTTGTGATCTGACATCGCTGTAAGGCAGTGAACTCTTGCATTTGCTTAGCCTGGTGGGAATTTTTATCCTTCGCCTATGGCTAATAGTCCCTATTTAAATAACACGTGCCATCTTTGCATCTGAGAAACTCTGCATCGCCGCTAAAAGCACATTGCGTCCTGAGAATCTGTAGTCCTTAAAAAATAATACAAAAAAATTAAAATTAGCCTCTTTGGTTGTCTGCTTCCTTCCTCGCACATGCGTACTGTGTGTTCTACAAAAGCGCTGGCATGCAAGTCAATGCATCTCTTGTTGTCACTGCTGCGAATCACAGGGCATTAACGTAACGTGGGAAAGGGCAAGAGCTTGGTACAGCACTGCTGCCTCCTGCAAGAGGGGAATGGAGAAACCTTCAAAGCGCAGGCTTGGCGAGGATCCGAGCAATTCGCCGAGGTGCTCAGGTGTCTTTGGCTGGTTGAGAAGTGGCAGTGTGGCTGCATGTTCTCCTGGTATCCTCTGCTCCTCCTTTACTGAGATTGAACTCTGGTGAAGTTAATGCATCGGCCCTGAGTGGGGAAGAAAGAGAGAAGCTCTTAGTGCTGGGTGAAGCAAAAAACACAGTACAGTCTGCACAGTACAGTACAGTATTGTGCTACAGTGCAGATAAAGGTGGTTTTATTAGCAATAACTGGGGTTCTACATCTATAAAGTGCCTTTCTTATGTTCTTGAAATCCCTGTGCACCAAGAGGAAAAATGGCTTCCCTGGGGGTATCAGAGAACACCATTCTTCCAGAAGTGGGTCTAGATGAATTTTGACTGTTTTTAGCGTATCTGAGTGTGAAACAAATCTAGTAGTGAACACCATTGCCCCTTTTATTGATTTTGGATAATCACTGAGTATATCCATTCTTTTGGGGCCTCCAAAGATCCATTTTGGACCTCCAAAGATCCAGAAGGTTTGGACTTCTCCAAAGTCCTTGAAATATTGAGGAGATTCTGCAAATGCTTGTTACAGTTAGTGTCTTTGTTGAATGCTTTGTCTTGAAATTATTTCTTAATTACAAAGGCTTGCCGTTTGAGCAGGCTATGTAATACAAAATCATGGTCTGCATGGGCAGTAAGGAGGCCATAAATTGACTCATTCAGCATAGGGTGCCGTAGGGTACCGTGTACCGGAGTGGTAGCGCTGCCTCTACGACTCAGATCTCCACCTTCACCTATGGCAGCTGAGCCAGAACTCCCCTCGTCTTGAAGCACATTAACACTAGTATTTTCATAGTAGCCTGATGCATATATAAATATATGTGTATGTGGAAAGGAGCAGGAAAATTTTCAAAGGTGGGTAGGTGGATACATTTCACAGCGTTTAGAGGGATTTTGCTTGAAAGTTGTCTTTGTTAGCTGATGGTTTAAGTCTTTTCTAGGTGTAGATAGGAGGAAAGGACATGTGGGGTTTTTTATTATTTTTCCTCTCTGTTCTTTTTGCTTCCTACCTGAATACTTCTAATAAATTCTGTCATCCCTGAAGCAACTTAAAAGAGAATGTTAAAAGATGATGCCAAGCAAATTGTTTGGCGTAGATAGAAGCGCTTATGCTTTGAGTCCTTTTTCTTATTTTAAATATATGTGTTTGAGGGGCAATTAATGCTTTCTTATTGAAGTAAGAGATTATAGTACTATCAAAAGAAAATAGGCCTGAATTTTGTATTACCCTTGTACGTTCAGTTTGATGCACGTGTTCTAACAGTACTTGTGGAGGGATATTACCTACGGTGTTACTTGCTGTTACTATAGCAAGTCTCCTTAGGCACCTGCCTGTGACTGGCTGAAAGGAGCTGAGGTCGATAGGTCGAGTGCAGGTGGAAGGATGCGGGCAGGGCAGATCAAGGGCTCTGTTGCAGAATTCTCTTCTAAAGATCCTACCTCCTGGCAACTATCTATAATAAGCAGAAAAGGTGCTGAATACGTGTGCATGGAGTAATTGTAGTAACTTCTAGCTGCCACCCACCTGGATTATAACTGCGTAAGAAATGCAGAGAGAGAGAGCAGGAGAGCTAAGAGATCCCACTAAAGACAAAGCAGAAAGGCACGACACAGCTTTAGTTGCCTTTACGTTTGCTTTTCTGAAATGAATGTATCAAAATGAATTCTGTGGAAGAAGCAAAGCGTTTCTGGAGCATTTAAAAAAAAAACTATGCAACTCAAGCCCTGCTGACAGCAAAGCTCACATTAAACAACGGCAGCAAGGATGTTTCTATCCAAGTGTGATACCACTTACACAAAAACAAGACATCACAAAAACATTTGCAGAAAAGAGCTAACAAGAGAGTCCCAGGGTGTCTCAGATGATGCAATTAATATTGCAATTTCCCCTTCATTACAAAAGCTCTGCTTTTGTTCGTAGCTTTCTCACAGTTCTTTAAACATAGTTACCAGGCCATGAATTCATATGAATTTAGACAAATTATTTGACTACTAATCATTCTGGTTTTCATTTAGAAGGCAGGTGAGTGGTCCAACATTTTAGCTGAGCTCTAGAATGATCACTCAAAGTAAAATCGGCTCTTCTAGACCTGACTGCAGCAAGTCAGTAAGCGCAATATGTTGCAGTGGGATGTTTTCTTAGCTGTTTTTAGCTCTTTCTGGAAATTGAGAAACTTTAAAATTTAAAATTAATTTCTTTTTGAGTTACAGGAGACAGATTTTACTGAAATTAACAAAAATATACTGTTGCTCTGCCAGCTTCTAGAAATCATTCAGAGGTGGTTGGAAGAACCTGCTGTGATTTTTCTTCTACTTTAAGGCTTCATTGTGTTTTCTCTTCTGGTAGTTTAGATCAAGCACTTTTGACTAGAACATTTCCTCAAATTGCTTTCAAATAACGAAATATAATGAAGCAAATGAAATAAAATTAGGTATATTGAATATATACGTATAAACATACACCCATATATACGTGTATGTTATGTATGCAGGGGAACTAGCACAAATGTAGTATTAGTTTTTGTGTTTCACAGACATGCCAGGAAAGAAAGGCAGTCAAGCAAAGCAGCCATGCAGGCAGAGCAGGCCCTGCCTCTCCTGTGCCCGAGGAAGTTGGCGCTAGAAGTGCAGAGGTTTAGTAGAAGGTGACTTCAACTCGAGGGACAACAACCCCACCTGAGCAGAAGGCTTCTTGGAAGCCGAGCTCCAAGTTAAATCCCGAAGGCTCGAGTTGGCTCGAGTTAGCAAGTGCATTTGATATACACTTGATATTTGGAGAGTTCTCTAATTTCTGTACCGGCAACTTTACTTTGATTAGTTTTGCTTATTTAGGGGGGGAAAAAAAAAGCATGCCAAGAGATTTCAAATGCAAACAAAGCCTCCCATATAATAAGCCATCTTTTGTGAACAATATGATGTTCACAGAAGACAGAGGTGAAATCAGGATGTTGGAAAACACACTGAAAGTGCTAATTAATCCGAAGGTCAGGAATGCTGTACTGTCATTTACATAACAGCAAATACTGCATGCCAGTGTAGCGAGGAACAGCTTTTGGGTATCAGTAATGGAAGGTGACAAGGTGTGTGGTTGCACAGTACCTACACATGAAGTGCACTAGCAGGAAGCATTAAAGCCAACGTAAAGGACTCCGAACTCTTATCACTCTCTTGCAATTGAGGACTTGCTGGACACACTTCTATTGGTATTATTTGTTAGTAAAAATAAGAAGGGCTATTTATCAGCAGCTCTCTCCTCCTCTCCGTTTACCCCAGTTTGGGTCACATATGTAACCCTTTTCTAAATCCCCTCACTAGTAGGAGCCACGGGTGTCATTTTGCTCAGCAGGACACAGTGGGACATGGCATTCCAGTGGCGCCCCGAGGTTTATTTAGTGCTTATAAAGCACCATTAACTGGTGGATCTCAGAGCAACTAAGAAATAGGAGCTGCCAAAATTCCCTGTGATGTCCGTATTGGGTGTATTTATGTCTGTATAATGCCATATATACAAATGAGGTAATGTAAGTGAGATGTTAACCTGTCCACAGTATAGATGGGCAAACTGAAGTAGATAGTAGACAGAAAACTAGTTTTCCATTCTGTTAAACATTAATTGTGCTGTACCAAGCCAGTGTGGACTGCAGTCCACATCGACTGGACACATCAGTCCAGTCACCACATCAGATTGTGTGTTGTAACCAACACTATCTTAGAGCAAGCTGGCTTGGGGCAAACCATTCTCAAGTGTGTAGGTTGCTTGTAGGTTGCTAAACTAACTCAAAGCTTCCTATGTAGGGATATTTATTTCATCATTAAGATCAGCTCTTGGCAACAGAATATTACATTTCTTTCCAATTAATCAGAACTTTGCTAAAAGCACTGTTTACTTTACTAGAAACAGTTTACTAAAAAATAGACTCATCAGGCTATTTTTGGCCTGCAGAATTAAAAGCATAGATGCTTGTCCTATGAAACTAATAAAAGTGATGAATTACCACCATTCTAGCAACATTACCGTGATCAGCCAGTTTGGGGGCCTAAAGTTACACTCACATCCTTGTCCTCAATTAAACAATCAATACAACCAATTTGTATCTGGATGTATCATGCCTTGTAAATCACTGGATCATAAACTTTAACACTACCAACATGTAGTCAGTATAAAATTGAACTAAATAGGGTTTTAGGGCTGGAGTAATTTGAAGCATGAGTTATGCAGGCATTCCATGATATTGGTAGTGGGATATTGGAGTTGTCTCAATGCCCCAGATTCAACAGGAAAAAAAAATAAAATTCTGAACTAACTGCTAAAAGATGTACTGCAGGTGCTACAGGAGAAGGATATGACAATCATTAAAAATGAAAGAAGAAAAGAGAGGCAGAGAGGGATATAGGGCTAAGGTTTCTACCCTTAGAAAGAATATTTTTAATGACGCATGGAACTAATTTGTTACGTTGCTGAATATCTTACACAAGTTCTTTGTAACTTAGCGGGGCAATCAGAGTAAACTTGCTTGCTTTCAGAACAGTTTCAAAGGAAGTGGACACAGTAGACTGCAGGATAGGGCCTCATATGGCAATGCAAAAGAGAGATGCCTACTGAGATTGCCCCATTCCTCCTGCAGTGTGATCTGCTGTGGAAATAGCTCAGCTGAAACAGAACATGTAGCGTTTTGGTGGTGGAAACCCTTTTGGACTGCGCCGTACTTGAAGCTTGGAACACATCTGTTGACATTGGCTAGACAGGTATGAAGAGTGTTTTAGTCTGCATGTGTGGACAAACACGCACTGCTTTCCAAAGCTCTGTAACGTAGCACTGGGCACTCCAGCGGCAGCCGTCACGGGTGGAGGAAACTTCACTGAGCTCCCTGCAGTGCTGCCTGCTCCCCACTGCCAAAGCTGGCCTGCCATGGTCAAAGCGTTAACAGGAATAGTCATAGTAACCAGTAAAACAGTAATATGACAGATACTAACAGTGTTTCCTGAGGGAAATTGTGTACTTTCGGTTTCAAGCTGCAAAGATGTACAGCCATTGCTTGCAGTATTCCTGAGTAATTCAGAAGGGACAGATGAAGCCCTCTG